GCTGGCGTGGATGGATTTGGGATGGATGGATGGATGGATGGATGGGATGGATGGGTGGGTGGGTGGTTGGGTGGCGTGGTGGATTGGATGGATGCGATGGATGGATGGATGGATGGATGGATGGATGGATGGTGGGTGGGGTGGGGGTGGGGTGGGGGGTGGGTGGTTGGATGGGGATGGATGGATGGATGGATGGATGGATGGATGGATGGATGGATGGATGGATGGATGGATGGATGGATGGGATGGATGGGATGGTGGGTGGGTGGGTGGGTGGTGGGTGGTGGGTGGATGGATGGATGGATGGATGGATGGAATGGATGGATGGTGGTGGGGGGTGGGTGGGTGGGTTGGATGGATGGAGGATGGATGGATGGATGGCGTGGGTGGGTGGGTGGTGGGGGGTGGGTGGATGGATGGATGGATGGAGATGGTGGATGGATGGATTAGTGGGTGGGTGGATGGGGGTGGGTGGGTGGGTGGATGGATGAATCGGTGGATAGATGGATGGACCGAAAGATGGATGGATGGATAGACAGATGGATAGATGGGTGGATGGCTAGAATGGTTGATTGATAGAGACTAACAGAGTGATGGGTACATAAAGACTGATAGATAGCCGGATAGAGTGATAGATTGATGGACACAGAGATAAGACTGACGGATAAAATAATTGACAGATGGATAGGTACGTAAAAGAACAAATGATGAGAAATAATAGATTTTAATTAAATAGATACAGAAAGAATACATGATAGATGGGCGATAGATTAATTTTGAGTAAATATATACTGATAAATGGGAAATATATCAAATTGATAAATAAAAAAGGAAAAAATAATACATACATAGATAAATGATGAATCAATCTGATAAAAAAAAAAAAAAATATTTGATAAACAATAAATACAATAATGAATGGGCGTAAACATTACATAGAATAAGGAATAGACAAAAATAAAATGAAATATGAAATAGGTAAGATTTTCGCTCATTCCTCTATTCCACAATTTATCTATCAATTGGTTTATTCATTCGTTAAATTGAAAAAAAAGTACAGTTGGCTTGTCCCTACAGTGTGTGTGTGTGTGTGTGTGTGTGTGTGTGTGGTGTGTGTTGTGTGTGTGTGTGTGTGTGTGTGTGTGTGTGTGTGGTGCTGTGTGTGTGTGTGTGTGTGCGCGCGTGTGCGTGATGATAAATAATAATAATAATAGTAATGATCATCATCATCATCATAATAATAATAATAATAAAAACAATAATGATAATAATAATAATAAAAAAACAATTAATGATAATAACAACAATATGCATTAGAATAATGACGAATAAAGAAAAATAATAACAGCAAAACCTTGTTCTCTCTCTCTCTCTCTCTCTCTCTTTTTCTTTTTTTTTTTCTTTTTTTGACGTCGATGCATATGAGAGGTTAATGGTGTTTGGTTAACCGCGTCAACGACCCATTAGTCTTTATCGTTCTTTAAAATGGTAAATTAATATATCAGTGTAAATAAATATATAATAAATCAATAAAAAGTAACACAATACCGAGACGGAAATAAAGACAAATTATTGAAGTAGTGATACATTTCGTTTTCGTTTCCCTATTTCCTCTCTCTCCCCCTCTCCCTCTTTTCTCTCTCTCCTCTTTCTTCTTTCCCTCTCTCCTCTCCTTCTCTCTTTTCCTCTCCTCTCTCTTCTCTCTCTCGCTATATAAAAGGTTATGAACCTTATATATTAATATTGATACTGGTGGGGCAAATATTTTTTTTCTCTCTCTCTCTCTCTTTCCCTCTCCTTCTTTCTCTCTATAAAAGGTTCTCTTTTCTCTCCCTCTCCTTCTTTCTCTCTATAATAGGTTCTCTTTTCTCTCCCTCTCTTCCCCTTTCCTTCTTTCTCTCTATAAAAGGTTATGAACCTTATATGTTAAAACAGATACTGGTGGGGTAGAGTAATATACTGACACGACTTCACTCTTTATTCTTATTAAGAGTTAACAGACACGAGTATAAATAAAGACGACAGGAGACGACAGCGCTGGTGGTGACAGCGGCATAGCAAGCCCTGGCGAAGAGGACAGCAGAGGTTCTCGCAGTAAGAGGGGCTGTCTCTCTGTGCTGAGTCCAAGTGAGCGAGAGGTCAAGCTGGGTCGTCCTTAAATCTGGTACCACGTGGATATTTAGAATCGCACCATGAGGGGTCAATGCAACCGCATGTTCTGTGAGTTAGTATGTTATTTTATGTTATGTAGTATGTTATACTCTCTCTCTTCTCTCTCCTCTTTTATACTGGGGAATTATATGTATCTTCCTTTTATTATATTTTAAAACCTTTATTTAAGTATCTACTGCCTAGGAAATAAAACTATCACAATAAATTAGGCGATTAATCTATGTACAATTCCTTTTAAATGGAATAATATGACTTTACAAGCACATTAATATCTAAGCTACTCCACATCTGAACATATTTACAAGTAAAGTGTCTGCAAAGCTGAGGC